ATTTCTAGACGCCCGAAAATAACATTTGAGGCGTTCTGAGCTATCATTTTTTCCTTTCCTTTCTTTTTTTCTTTTTTTTTACCCCCCCCCCCCAAAAGAAGGGGGTGGGGGCTGGGCCGACACCCCCTAACTCCGCTCCTGTATGTACATTTTATAGGCCTATAAGGCAAGACGGTCAATTGTCTCACAAATTAACTCATACTAGGCCTATCCGTTGCTGTTATTTACATGCCCATGTTGGTTGGTAATAATAAAATAACATTAATTAAGCAAAAAACTGAGTTATTTCGAGTGTTTTGGAAGTTTGCAATTTTCGTTATAAGTTTTAACAAGAACACATTTTTAGAAAAACACTGAGACTGAAATTGCTTAAAAAATAAATCTGAAATCAACACAAAGTAAGAACATTGAGTCCGCAAAATTTTACTGGTTGTATTTGGATTTTTTCTTTTAAATTTTTATTCGCTTCTTAAGGTTTTTCAGATTTTACTGTGACAAACAATATTTTAGATTTTAGATGTTAGGACTATTATACCTCCAGGGTTTGGCCTAGTCCAGTGTTCAACGCCCATATAATAATATTTTATAGCCCTATCAAACACGATGCCCTTTATAGAGACCTATTTTATGCACAGCGTGAAACAGCTAATAAATTGGCAAGCTGGTGACATGGGCTGGTACTGTCAGATACGAATACAATCTCTGTATTAATTATATTGCATGACAACAACTACTTAGATAAACCAACATTTGTTGATGTCAAAGTAACAGGTAGACCCTATAAATTCTGGTGTTGGTACTGATGTCTCTGTTTACTCGGTTTATGATTTCTCAAATTCATCACAATCTAGGGGGGCTAGTTTACATAAACTAGATTTTTTGCCAAAATGAAATCGGTGATGCAAGATAACTGGGGGCCTTAGAGGCAACGATAGGATTTTGTTTCTGATTTTTGTTCCTACTTCCGTAACAGTATTCTTTAATAATTTCAACGCGTCTTTGCCCGGGGTCTTGCCTCATTAAGATGACGAATTTCTGTGAATTCTAGTACCCATGAGTTTGTTAAACGTAGGTTGAAGAACACCACTGAGATGGTGTAGTTATACGCGGAGTTTCCTGTTACCATTTTTGTAAAATATTGACTCGATCCTGGGACTTCGCCCTGGAACAGTGACTTTTTGAGCGACGCACGACCACTCCCATGTAGCTCTCGTTGGAGTGATATCGTCCACCCATCGGAGTGGTTCTTCTATGTAAAAAACAAAACAAAACAAAACAAAACAAAAACACCTCATTTGACATTTTACCTGTCTTCAATTTGTTCTGATTTTGCTCTTAATTTTTAAGCAATTTCAGCCTCAGCGTTCTTATAAAATGTGTTCTTATAAAACAAAAGTGTATTACTGTAGAATGTATTACCTTCTGCACCTAAATATACAAATAATTTGTTGGTTTTTTTATTAAAAAAAATAATAAAAAAAAACCTCAATTTTTTTATTTTGTTCTTAGTTTTTAAGCTATTTCAGCCTTAGCGTTCTTTAACGTGTTATAAAAAGAAAGTGTAGTTAAGATAGTCATAATACATAGGCCTACTCCAAGTATCGAAATGCACGCCATGTCGGAATTCAATATTTCGACATAATATGTCATCATCACGCCATCGTGTGGCCTGCATTTCGATACTTGGAGTATGTATTCTGAAATTAATCAGTGGATCTTTCGGTTTTAAAGTGTAGTTATTTGTAAACAAATAGGCCTAACTCTTTTACACATATACTACATAAGTTACCGTAC